AATTATCCTCTACACTGAATCCCAGTAATATAACACTAGTCTATTTTGTTTAATTATCCTCTACACTTCAACCCAGTAATGTAATCTCTACTCTATTTTGTTTAATTATCCTCTACACTGAATCCCAGTAATATAAACTCTAGTCTATTTTTATTTATCATCCTCTACACTGAATCCCAGTAATGTAAACTCTAGTCTATTTTTTATTTATTATCCTCTACACTTTAACCCAGTAATGTAAACTCTAGTCTATTTTGTTTAATTATCCTCTACACTGAATCCTAGTAATGTAAACTCTAGTCTATTTTTATCTATTATCCTCTACACTGAATCCCAGTAATATAAACTCTAGTCTATTTTGATTTACTATCCTCTACACTGAATCCAAGTAATGAAAACTCTAGTCTGTTTTGTTTTATTATCCTCTACACGTAAACACAGTAATGTAAACTCTTGTCTATTTTGTTTTATTATCCTCTACACTGAATCCAAGTAATGTAAACTCTACTCTATTTTGTTTTATTATACTCTACACTTAAACCCAGTAATGTAAACACTACTCATTCATGCTTCCCTCACATCATCCACGCTTCCCTCACATTATCCATGCTTCCCTCACAACCGGTGTTAATTTGTCGATACTCACTGGCTTGCTCAGAATACCACGATATCTGCAATAGAAGTATAACGCTTGTGGACAACATTTCAAAATAAGGTTTAAGAGGTCCAAGTTGATTGAGACTATGGACAAGTTGATTGTGACTATGGACAAGTTGATTGAGACTATGGACAAGTTGATTGAGACTATGGACAAGTTGCATGCTCGTCATCATGATCTCATTGTGGGTTTTTTTCCCCTGTGCAATATGAATACCGACTTTGTTAATTGCGATATCACCTATGATATCACTTAGACTAGACTTAGATGTACATGGTGGTTGTCTTCGATAAAGAAACGACATTTACCCTTCCGGAACACATGGGTTCTATTTCACTAGTGTGTTTTTATTCTGAGACCTAATCATGGTTTTGTGTTTACACTTTATTTTTGTTTTCTTTGCTATCATAAAACTTAAGTTAACCGCTCTTTTATAAGAACATGTTGGATACATCTATAGGTTATATAAACATCTGCGATTTGCCAAATCGGGTATCGTTGTAATCAGTCCGTAGTCTGTCATTCTGGATTACTAGTTTTGTAATCAGGGATGCATGAACAAAGGCCTACGTCCATATGTAAAAGGTCAACAGAATAACACTGATATGGATATATACCCGACTAGATGCTTGTAGTTTATTATATTGTTAAACATTATTCTCATGATTAGGTCATATTTTTAGGTCCTTGTCATAACATGCCGTTTTTTAATATTGTGTCAAGAATCAGAAGAGAAAACTGGACAATAATGAAGCCATTTTCTGCAAGCTACAGAAATGCTACATTGGATGCAGCATAAGGTTATAGGCGCAATGATATGACGGTAACCGGACAGAAACCAGAGACCGAAGACTCTAGGGTTACAGATTCCAGTGAATGTGATCCATCATCAGCTGATTGTTCTATTTTTTTTAATTTTGACCTGTTGGAGATTTCACATTTTGACGAGTTGGTGTAAAAAAAGAAGAGAATATCGAGTGTCAACATAACAATAATTCGAACTCAAAATTAGTAAAACTAAGGCAAAATATTAACAAAGGAATGAATTTGTCAGTCAGCAGTCGACATCTATCGTGGACGTCGTGATATTCGGAGCAACCTCTTGAATACCGAATCAACTAAGATATGTTAACACCATAGGTAGGGGAACAGGGGTGATACTACCAAGAAAGGGAAAGCTCACAATTGGATAGTACAAAGATCGACGAAAAGGCCTCAAGAAGAAGAATATATAGTGTCATTGATTTCAGGCTCTGGAGGGTATATACAATCGACGTGGTCAATGATTTCATATTATTTTAAGACAGCACCCCGTCGATTTGGTTTAATGTGAAACTGAAGGAATTGGCAGGGTTATTGTTACCAGTCCTGAAAAAATCATCAATATATTCAGCTTTATATGAACAAATCGGCCAGAAGAGGGTCACAGTTTGTTCCCACAGGAATGTCTGCATTCAGCTGGAAAATATTGCCACCGAACTCAACAATGATATTGTCAGCCAGGAACTCAATCATTCTCACAATTTTGTCTTGATGTAATTCCGTTTGGCCTTTGTTGCGCTTTTCACAAAACATGCTTCAAACAATTGCAAGTCACATTATTTTAAGTAACGCGCTCATAAAGCTCGAAATTGATGAAATAATGCAGAATGTCAGCACAGAAAATGTGGCATTTCAAATGAATGTTATATCTCTCCTTCTAAGAAAAGCGTTGTTAATCTCTAAAGCAGTGATACAAGCTCCTCTTATATTATGAAATCAAAAGCAGGTTATGTTATGCTAATCATTCGTTGGCGATTCATTTCTACACAAGGATAAATTGAATAAAAGTGAATAAAAAGAGGTGATCCGGAACCCGTTTGTTCCTTCCCTTCAATATTCCTGTATTCATGATGGATTTAAGGTATGATTATACTCATTTCCTTCTTGTACATATTGTTATCTGACCATGCTAAACTACTTCATTTAAAATTCAGTAATCTGTATTTCAGAAATCTGGCAAGCCCCAGTGTTCGGATTTCAACTTTTTACTGTAAATACAGACTAAACAATAACGTCTAATATGTACATTTACCTTAAAGAACTATCTGATGGTAATGTTTAATTGTCATTACAAAGATGTACTGTGTCGTATAAGATGACTTGACATTAACATTGAAATCAAGCCAAATTCCCTGTTGACACGTGATCATATGACCTCAGTTGTTGACTGACCAAATTCCCGGTTGACCATCATCTAATGACGTTAGCCGCTAAATGACCCCATCGTCTACAATATTCATCACCATACGACTTTATCTGTTCCGTCTACAAAAGTCATCACCATGCGACTTGGTCTGTTCAATCTACAGAATTCATCACCATACGACTTGGTCTGAGCAATCTACAGAATTCATCACCATGCGACTTAATCTGTTCGGCTTACAGAATCCATCACCCTACAACTGTGTTTCCGTATACAGAATTCATCACCCTACGACTTTATCTGTTCCGTCATCAGAATTCGTCACCATACCACTATTATATTCCGTCTATAGCAATTATCGACATACGACTTCATCTATTCCGTCTACAGAAATCATTACCATACCACTTTATCTGTTCCGTCATCAGAATTCGTCACCATACCACTTTATCTGTTCCGTCTACAGAAATCAGCATCATACCACTTTATCTATTCCGTCTACAGAAATCATTACCGTACCACTTTATCTATTCCGTCATCAGAATTCGTCACCATACCACTTTATCTATTCCGTCTACAGAAATCATCACCATACGACTTTATCTATTCCGTCTACAGCAATCATCATCATACCACTTTATCTATTCCGTCTACAGAAATCATGACCATGCAACTTTATCTGTTCCGTCTACAAAATCGATGACCACAAGACTTTATCTATTCCGTCTACAGACAGGCAAAGAACAAGTAATAAAATCAAGCAGTAAAACAAATGTTTGGTATGTGTTTTGCGTCTTTGATGTTTATTTTTAAACCAAAAATTTCAATTAAAAAAAAAAAAACAAAGAGAGATATGATTCATGATTTATTGTCTGGTTAGTAAGTATAAAACATAAGATGTAATTTATAGAGTATCACATCAGCTTTAATTTAGCACAGAGAAACGAGACATTTATACAAATGTAAGTAACTAAAATGTGAAAACAACAAATCAAAACATAAAACACAATAAAAAAAATCCTTTCTATACAACTCTAACAAACAACAGAATGTTTAAATATGATTGCATCTACAACTATAATATACAGACTATACATATACTCTTTCGTGAGAAATACCTTGAACTACCTTATATATCTAGACATCTCCTTCTTTTTCAGTGTTATGCATACAATGTACAACGTATGTCAAATTCATTTTAAACTCGTACCATTCATCAACGCTCGTTTTATACCAAATAACCTGTTAGTGTATGATACCACCATTATATTACCATACCAAGTACACAAAGGTCATTGATAATGGATGAACACCTGAATTAAAAACCTAAAAGTACCTCGATGTTGGATCGTTGTTATTGACATATGGACATATGTCATTAAATCTAACGCCAGAAGAGTCGTGCAATCACTCTCAGGTCAGAAATATAATCTTTCCTCTGTGGAGAAGTGTCATACTTTCAATCTCAGGTGATGTCATGCAGTCCACTTCAGGTGAGTAGTCATGACTCATTCATTGACCTACTATCTAGCCAGTTACTATTGGGACTATAAAACATATTTTATCTTTTACTTTTGAAACTTTACAAGTCAACCAGCTCATTTGTTTACATTTTGGACGAGAGGTGAGGGATTTACTAGCGCCGATTGAATGTGTACATTAACTAGCGTCTGTGTATATATAACTCAAACACAGTGTATAGTACGATTGTACATGTTTCTTTGAAACAAATGAAAACCCTTAGACTAAAACCCCAATAAATCAACAACTTGCTATGAAAGTGATATGATTGACAAATTCCAACGTTCTTAAAAAAAGAGGTAATACAAATAATTAACATAAAACATCTATTCATGAAAACACAAAATCGATTTCAATTTTGCGTTTTGAACTGACGGTAAAATATTGATTGCGACAACTAATTAGATTGTGATATCATGTGTAGAATTTGGAACGTAAAATTAATATCTGTTAGAATTGTATAATAAGTAAAATAATAAAAAAATATATATATAAATTGGAACTCAAAACGGATACGAAAGACAACAGAAACTGAAGGGTCGTGCAAACACATTTAAGTAACATCACAATCCCAACCAGAGGGGTCGTGAAAACATCATTTAACCTCACATCGAAACCGCATGTGGTACCAGATGGAAAGGAGCATACAAACACAGATTCGCTCTCTCATATGTAAAATAGGCTAACCCAAATTTCCAACATTAATGAATTCGGTAAATACTTCACAGGTTGATATTTTCATATGTTAAATTTTGGTTGATAACAGTACATGACGTTAAGGTTACGCACACATTTATAATTACCGTTCCGTTCACTTGCACTTCCGTAATGCATGCTTAAACCTGTTTGCAGGTATCCCTAACAAGTATCGAAAAAACAGATTCCTTCTATTGGAAACAAGCTGTTAAATGATTTTACGTTGTTTACAAAAGTATACAAAATCTCGCGTCCTTCAATGTGCGACATCATTTAAGGTGGATTTTACAGTTTTCATTTTTAAACAGCTTAACTACAATGACTACTTAACAACAACAAAATAATCATATGTTAGTATTCCAAAAACAAATTTTAATAAACGAAAAACTATCACAATGAAAATGTATTAACAAGGCCTGGACGGTTTTGATTGCTACACATGTTATGGCAATGCCGTATTATAATACAGAATTGCTAAGTATGTAATTAATGATATAAAGATATCAAAAGAGTTTAAAAGTCACCCGCTGATTGCTGTTTATGCACTACTTTCCCTATCACATCACGACACATGTTTTGGACTCTTTCACGTTTTGGTCGTGACCCTCCTCACTTTTCGTCTTCTTATCGTCCACAAGCTTCATGTGTTGGCTATGAAGATAGCTCTCTCTGCAATTAGAAAAGTATAAGCATATCACGACATGTAAAAAGTCACGTCATAAAAAGCAGGTCAAAATGACTTTATATTGGTCGATATTCAGAACAATTCTCTCGGTGTACCATATAGTTTTATTTTCTTATTAAGCCATCTATATCAATAGATATGATTTGATATTCTCTTATCGTTTCCCCTAACGACTGGGATTTCACTCAAACAGACAGTCCCTTGGCATCACGACAGAAGATGTGATCCAGCATGTAGACGCTGATATCATTTCTCCACGACAAGTTATTACTGAAAAATACGAAACTACGTTATAGCAGTTCCGTGTAAAGGCGTCCACTCCTCACAGATATTAATACTAATATTAAAAGGATAAATGATAATGAATGTTGTTGATGAAGAAAGAGGAGAAACGAGCCAGTTATTGACAGTATCTAGCCTAAAAGTACATTTTGTATGATAAAGGACAACGGTATCATAGGACGGTTTATACAGTTCATGAAATGCAGTTAAAATACCAACAAAACTATGTGGAATAAAATGTAATGGGGGTTCTGTTGTGTTTGGTATTCTCTTTATATAAATGCTAAACCAGCATTAAACTTGCTGTTTCCTTCAAACAACATTTTGAAAATCATATCCAACGAAGATATCGATATAAAATACAGGATGCTATCATAACCATGATCTCTACGAAAACTTATATCACTGTTTTGTAGCATTATAGCCATTATCTCTACAAATGCTAATATCTACGTTATAGCATCATAATAATAATTTCTACAAAATATCATATCCACTATTATATAGCACCCTTACCATGATCTCTGCAAGGTCTTAGACCATCAGGATTCGTCATGTTATCTACAAAGTCAATCTAACCTTACAGCTTTCACTACTGGGAAGAGATCCTACAACCCTACCGTGGAGTCGAGTGACTCAATAACATAATGATATATCTTAATCCCCCCACCGAAAGTGATATATCTTTAATCTAATTGAATAACCCAACTATTGATTGTAGAATATATGCTTATATAGTTGTATTTTTATGGCTTTGTTGTAGGAATGTTTTCTTGTAATTTCGTAGGAGGCACAACAAATGCCAATTTAACAATACTATATTGCTACTAATAAAGCGACAACTACAGCTGTAGAGACAACTGCACACAGTATATATAATTATATATATAAACATGATGGTTTGGTTTGGTTTAATTTTGTTTAACGTCTTATTAACAGCTAAGGTCATTTAAGGACGTGCCTCAATGTGTGTAGTGTATGCATGCTAGCGTGTGTGTATGCAAGAGACATGGTATGTTGTTGTAAATGCCTCCTTGTGATAGCGCGCATTTGATGCCGACTTTAAAGTGCTATTTCACTGAAATACCATGCCGAAGGCACCCAGCACAGCATTCGGTCACATTATACTGACAACGGGTGAACCAGTAGTTGACATTCCCCTAAATGCTGAACGTTAAGCAGGGAATAACAACTACCATTTTTAAGGACTTTGGTATGTCCCGGCCTGGGAACAGAACCCATTACCTTCCTCACCTGGGCGAACGCTCAACATTAAAGCCAAACATGAGGTGTAGCCAAGCAAGGCGCTTGGAAATAAAAGGTAGTTAGAAGTAGAAAGAAAGAAAGTTAAAAATCCCAAATATTGCAATGGGTGCAGCAGATTTATTTTGGTCGTTTTTGTATCCCCAAATAGAGGACACCACAGCAAATCCCCAATTATGTAGGGGTTCCCACATTAGTCGTGTATTCTTTTCCCGATCACCCACCTACATGGATGCATGGACATAATAGAATGCGCAGCTAGTCGGTATCAACAAGATTTTGATTTACTATCACTTGAATTCGATTATTACTAAAGGGAAATGCTATATCAAATCGTCCGTTATGCATCGTTAACAAGTGCAGCGATAATGTCGCCGGTTCTAGTATGTGACGTCATCAACGGCGCTGGCATGAAAATGGCGACAGCCCCTAAGATGTTTCATCACGTGTGATAATGGCGTATGAAATGTCGCTGTTTCCCAGGATATGACGTCATCAGGGACAGTTATTTGCCAATGGCGTCACCTCGTCGGCCAAATTATGTGTGTTCATATGAGAAAAGAGTGTTAAAGTAACCCTTATATGTAAAGTCGTCATTATAAGTGATAGTGATTGACTCTCTCGTATGTAACGCTACGGGTGATAGTCGCGCGATTATGCCGCATGAACTTGCATGTGACGACATCAGCAATACTGTCTGGCAACGTCGCCTGTCCGAACACGTGACGGTGGTCATGTGCCACCAGTGACAGTGGCAAGTTAATGTCGCCCCACGTTCGTAATGTCATCTAACAGTATTTCTGTTCTATCGATTTTCTGGCATGACTAGCTCTGTATATGTGTCGATTTGAAACATGCTAACGCATGCAATTGTGACAATCAACATGAGTCTAATAGATATGTGACAAGCGTCTTCTCGTGTCACGCGCAGGGAAAACCAAGTTAGGTCGACTAGCTAGATCTGTCATGTATTAAACGATTACATTCGTAAACAGAACGATAATGGTATTTTGATAATATTCGTCACGTGAGGAAACTCGGGTCAATTTACAGTTCAGATATCCTGATAAATACATAATTATTCCTCCTCGGTTTTTATGGTATCGACCATTTAATGTTTTATTATACATCAGGACAAAGCACTTGTTTTTATCCCGATGTTGTTAAAATGCAACGATCCTGCAATACCGCATGTTGTATTGCATTTTATAAAATAATAATGAGCAAACACAGAGTAGACATCAAGCGCGGCATATGTTTGCGTCTTCTTTTCAAAATCAACTCACGAGATTGCAGTATGTTTATGAGGCCACCCGTATGTAAACGTAAGACATACGACCGACTCTCCTTATCTCTTTATACACTACATATACATAATTAGTCTAATTACTCTATACACTATACACAATATTTCAGAAAATCAATTGAATAACCCAGAGAGTAATTAATTATATCTGGATGTTATTGTCTCTCAAATATCATTGTAATAATGAAATCAATTTCCTGCCATCTGCTTGTTGTGTTGAAATAGGATTTTTAATTATCTATTTCAGCAAAATGTTGTAAGTTTGAAACGTTATACACTTTTGAATAGCACATTTTTCCTATTACCGTTTTTGTATAAAATTCTAAAACACTTCAGACATACCAGTAGATTATCGATCTTGTAACCTTTTGTACCTCTAGTGAGTACTATAAAGATGATAATTTAATATGGCGCAGTTAAAATGTTTCCTGTTTTTTTGACTTTCTGGATCGATTTGCTAACTTTTTTAACAAGTCAATCTTTTTTTTCTTTTTTTCTGTGAATTATTTTAGACTTCAAAAGCAATAAGGCGTGCTTAGAAATGAAAGATTATTCAACGTTCTCTGAAATGTTTTACAGATTATAAATAAATGATTTTATAACAATTAAGTCAACATTCTCTACAAACATCATACAGAATATGGTGTCATTTATAATAATGTCTACATTTTCTACAAACATCTTACTGAGCGTAATGTTATTTATAATGCTGTCTACATTTTCTACAAACATCTTACAGAATATAGTGTCCTCTATAATGATGTCCACATTCTCTAGAAACATATTACTGAGTGTAATGTTATTTATAATGATGTCCACATTCTCTACAAACATCTTACAGAGTGTAATGTTATTTATAACGATGTCCACATTCTCTACAAAAATCTTACTGAGTGTAATGTTATTTATAACGATGTCCACATTCTCTACAAACATCTTACTGAGTGTAATGTTATTTATAATGATGTCCACCTTCTCTACAAACATCTCACAGAATATAAAGTCATTTGTAGTCATTTAGTCAACATCGTGTTCAATCAGAAACATACACCTGATATAAATATTTGTTATTATTTTACATAATATAACTGTGCTACGTTTCAAAGTTGTTTAAACACGCTCAACATAACCATCATTGCAAGTATAGATACAAGATTACCAGTGTTATCGATACATGAGTGTGGGGTGCGTCAAATAGGTATTTACATATTTACAGACGTACTTTTCATGTAATTGTGTGTGTAGTGGCAAAATATCACAGAAAATTAGGTACAGCTAGGTAAAATTAGGTAAAACTAGGTTAAATTAGGTACAGCTAGGTAAAATAAGGTTTTATATCAGGTTCGGTTGTACGTCACTGTTATGAATACTTTAAAATGGTCAAAAATAATACGATACAGATATATCAAATAATTTAAAGGTCATGAATTTAACTTAATGCAATAAATATTGATGTATGAATGGCGTCATACAGATAATTTATGACCTACACATATACTATTTTGAAAATAAAAATGGATTATACAGTATCCATGATGATTTATCATAGCAAGATATCTCACTATCACCATAGGGTGCCAAATAAACAAGACTAGAACAGGATACTACTTAGCAGTATCTGATACCAAAGAGTGTTAATTATTTATCTGACGTCACATTGTAACAGAATATAACGATAACGAACTTAATACAGATCGCGCGTGCTGTAGTATTTACCTGACAAACAACAGAAATATACATATCACCAATAGCATTCACAGAGGGCCAATTACTTACAAATCAATAGCAAAATGGTGCTGGTGAACTGTGATGTGAAAGAGCCATACAACTGTCCCTTATTCTTACATCCGTCCGAGAAAAGCCAAATCACTTATACCGGAAGTACATAGCGGAAGAACATCAATCACCCCAAACGAAACGTAATATCTACTGAAATGTTTAAGACCGTTGTAAAGGTTGTATCGCTCACACAACAGAAATCGCTATATGTCAGTATATCATTAAGTACATCACGACACCTTCAGCCGCCCATAACGGCACGTCTGGACAGGTTAATAAGTGATACCTAAAACTTGCCACCAAATATTCATACATTATCTTATAAACAAATTCAATTTCTATCTTCAAGAAGACATGATTTGTCCAACAAAGACAGTAAAAGATAAAAAAGATGCGTTCATTTTGTAACCAAATTCTATATTATGTTTGATCCAATTCAATTCTGTCCAAAATGATACATAAACTTTCCCGACAATATTCTTAAACGGACGCTATTGTATTCTACATGGACGTTATCAACTCTATCATGAGCAGTATTCCAGAAGAGGTATTTGGAAGATAGACAAGACCGTAATCCCATGGAGGTTTACAGAAAACATCCGTCAACACGACCCGTAACATTTGACCTGACAAAATTTCAACTTAAAATCGACAACGAAATCATGCGAAGATGATTAATAGAATTCCCTTACCTAAAACGTTTGACAGAGGGTCATATTCTTGATGTCTAACCCGTGACTTGTGTCAAGAACAAGGTATTAAATTCAAGAATGCGACGCCGAGGATGGAGATTTCTCAGACATACTTCATTACATGGGGATGATTCCGTTCTCCCCTCATACGGATAATTTGTTCAAAAACAATGAATATCAGCATTGGTATATGTGCTTAATCCCATGGAAAGCTAGATGTGACGCTATATTTCTTGGATTTTGTGACGTCATCATAACAATTCAGTTTCGCAATTGTCGGCATTAACAGTAGATCTTCACTACATAGGAAAGGATACCACATTTCCATAGGCGGGACGATTAAACGATTAAAGTGGGTAAGGCAAGACTGGAAACACGCTCTGGGACGCAAAGGATAAACGACCTGGCTTCCATGGATAGAAGGTGGTGGGGAAATATAAAAAAGACAGGACTGATTATTGAATGGAGACAAGAGTAATTTTCGCAGGCCTTAGTCGTGTGACATCTTACAGGGAGACAGCTGGTTAAGTCAAGTTGACCGTCGCCTTCGACAGCGGGATAAGAAGGACTTCCAGCCTAAGAAAGGAAAGTACGCGAACATGTTCGGTCAGTACAAGCGTTTAGATTGAGTGTATGGGTATACGCTGTAGAATTAGAGTATTTGAGAATGTTTTTAGGATGTTTCCACAAAAGGAAATCGCCAATCAAGACATCATCGAAGGCAAATTGTGCTGGATATGTTGGAGAAGATCACGACCAAGCAGGAAGCCATACGCAGACGGCCAGTGTGTTAACCTATCACTGCGGAAAGGTCAACAGATTGTTGGGTCATTGCTGATGATGCATGCAGATTCGACAATCCAGAGATTGTATTGAGGTATCAAACTTGACCGGCAGTCCGCACAAACATGCCGACCCTCCAAATAGGACCTTTGACTCAGAGATACAATCAGAACAGGAATCTTTACTTGAGGTGACTGACGAACGTAAGATTAACCCTATATAATTTGGTAATAGAGTAAGCCAAAAATAGGTCATACTGCAACATACAGCTGTTTCGTCCGTCTAGGACACATTTGTGACGCTAGGGGCAAACAAATGTGGAATTTCAATGGATCTAAACGACTGTTGAAAGAGTATTTTTCATATGCATCAAATGTCAAGATATATCGTTTATTTATTCACTGACATTACAACACCATACATGACATTAGTTTCACCCGACCCATTTCGACAGTGTTGTGTTTAGTCAGCAACACTTCAGCTCCACACATCATCAAGTACAATTACGTTTATATTTAGTCAATGACACTACAGCTGTAACAACATGATTTCCCCACTTAGACACAATGTTGGGTTTTGTCACTAACAACTACAGCTCTATTCCGTCTTTGTGTATTGCAGAGCTATCTTCTCTTGGGAGCAGGTATTGATTGTTACGGCACTTGGTTGTGAGAGTAACGCCATCAATTTTCGAGAAAACGACGTAATTTTCTCACACAACCCAATGACGTAACAAGCAATACCTGCTCCCAAGAGAAGATAGCTCTGCAATACGCAAAGACGGAATAGTAGTTAAAGTGTAGCATGCACTTAGTCATAGGGCTGTGTACGATCCTAAACATGTTTGTGTACATCATGCCACCAGCTGGTATGTATCGATCGTCGCTTTAGTGTAATAAGGTATTGTCGTTTGTACTTTAACGTTTGTGTGTAAATTTTACAGATATATGAGATGGTATCAAATGTAAAAAAATCAATAATCTCAGTCATTGAAAATCAAACGGGGGTATTAGCGGACTAGGTTACACAACTCAGAAATTCAGACATGTAGCGGTTGTCTCCCCTCAGATAGCTTAATGTCGAAACAAGATTGAAACGAACAATGTTAAACAACCTAATTGGTATTCATAACACATACTTGATCATACTAAAGCTATTTCGTCACACTATATTATCTAAATAAGTAGAACATATCAGGTTATACAAGATCATTTCAAAGCAAGCCATTGGGATTGATACGTCTCGCCTATGCCCCGCTTTGACCATCAATGCACATATCACAGAAACTAACTTGAACGCAAAAATGGAGATGCTGACAAAGTCAATGGACCATGAAAGGTAGGCCGCATCCAGCATTTGATCCATGGGTTGAAATGTACAACCTAAGATGCATCTATTGTCCAAGTTTGGTTGGTCTAGCACTTATACTTTCAGTGCAACTAACTTAAACGCAAAAACGTAAACACCTTAGTCTCGCTTCCACGTCGTGGTGGCGAGACAACAAAACGGATAAGAGCATATTATATTATCGCACAAAAGTTTGTTCGACATGAAATCAGTCGACAAAACAAATAAAAGGAACGTTGCACTGAACATGAAAGTCTCTTGTTAAATCCAGGAGCATGTGTAGGTCCACCATGGCCTAAGGCACGGTGAACACTTATTTAATCATGTTAGAAATGTTCTGGCTGAAAAACAGGTCATGGTGATAACGAACAGCCAAATAGACAAAACAAACCCACATCACAGTTTCGACGATGTCGTATGCATGCAAATAATTAGGTCCCACTTTAATCAAAATACATATAAATTGATTACCCTAGAATCTACCGTTTCAAACAATTAGTCTTTGAAACAACTTTGAACCTGGTGCATACATTTTAGGACTCTCCAAATGAACGCCACTGAAAATGGAGACTACATTAACTCAGAACATCTCTTAAATTTTGCCTGCAAATAGTTTGCAATAATAACAAATAATATTATGAAATACATATATAATGCACAAGGTATGCTTCTTTTACAACTCAATCCGATAATCGTGATAACTTCCACATATAATTCTGAGTAGGTTAAGTCTGTGTGTATCCCAAATGGTTTTAGTGGTGTAGAGGTTAAAGAGGTATCCAGGTTTACTTTCATTATGCACTGAAAATAGTTCTATCGGACACTATCAACGTTTCCACCTTATTTATGGTGTAAATCTCTTCTGTGTCCACTTTCCAGTTTCCATTCAATAGTATATGTAATTGTTTAAAAGTTGCATCAGTATACAGGGTAAATCTGCATAAACATTCACGTTGAATAACAATTTAAAAGAAATTTGAGATGTAAGTACCAACAACTCAACTCATATTAACATACACCAGTCCTTCATCATCACAGACAACATGACACGTACATTTGAAACAATACGTACAATTGATGCGTGAATGAGCATCTGTCAAACACGACAACGATATTCAATCGTGAGACGACAATAGCTTTTACAGGTATGACAACACAACACAAGTGTGTGGAATAATAGTAATGCGGAGGACCTTACAACAAGTTCAAACGGTTACTTTATTTTGTGATAATAGTTACATAAACCGCTCGGTATTCTCTTGTACGTAAATATTGATGTGACTCGAGAAATGTGGTTGGAATCTTGAACAAACATTTCACTCAATCCACTTATTGTTGTCATATTATGCTTTCTCTGAACTCGGATTGTTTTATAAGAAAAGTAATTGTTTTTAAAAGAAAATGTTCTGTTACAACAAGCGACGGCAGGGCATTATGACTCAAGCAAATAATGTTATTTGCAACGTTATTCGTGATATCGGTTTAAAACAATGTGTCGGTATATAATATCAATACTAATATTCAGAAATAATCAATGTGTAATATGGTGAAAAAGCTACTTAGTGATATTTTCTTTCGAGTATGTTTAATAAAACAAGAATGAGTGTGAAATATCAATATTTCTAAAATTGTGTTTTAGAAACGGATAGAAAAATTACGTTCGACGTCTAAGAAAAAGCATGTGCCATGGTGTAATAATCATGTGTAACTGCACATAATACTCGAAAGAGGGTGTTGTAGAATATCTAGATAGATAACTTATAATCATTACAATATTAACAAACACTAGTCAAACAACATGACACGAGAAGCTACAAATCATGGTCAAGCAACTACTGATTTATACATACTGATCAGCGAGAGCACGGCTGGAAAGCAAATAACGAGCACATGGTACTTAGAAATAACATCACAAACAATACTCAAACCTAATACACACATACATATCAAGCTACCTCATAGCATTGTCATGGAGATGTAATATTGTTTTACAAAAATACAAAACATGTATAAGGCTTTGAGAAAATGTATTCAAAGCATTAGGTACTTTGTAAGATAGTGGGGTTGTGATGGGTATTTATCGATGTCAGCGATGTGTCGAAAAAAAAGTGTACTAAACAGCACGAAATCATAAATGATGTATCAATTATTCTTCATAAAAAATAATGAGCTTTTTTTTTTCAAAACTCAAAACAGAATTTTTTTCAGTGTGACATTTCTACTAGTTGTTCCATCAATACTGAATGAAAACTTAACATTATAAAACTCATTGTTACTGTATAAAACTTAACATTATAAAACTCATTGTTACTGTATAAAACTTAACAATATAAAACTCATTGTTACTGTATAAAATACCGATTAACACGTGTTATCGTTAATTAACGTTGTTCAGCACTATATTAGAGATACATATATGATATCTACTACATTATTAATTCTTATATTTTTCAATTACAGTATTGTTAATAATGAAACACTATTTGACGCATGCACTATACCGAAGAAAACTATTACAAGTTTATCATCTTTTCGACACAGTTTTGATTTCTTTTAAACAAATCTTTTCCCCGTAATGAATAAACATTGATATAAAGTTTATAATTTATAATACTCGTCTATAAATATATTTTGTTAATTGTGATAATTTTTGTACGTGTTACTCTTATCAAAATTATACAACTTTAACCATTTTATGGGAACATAATGTGAAAATTTGTTTAATTTACATGAATGATTACAACGTTGTAATACAAACACAAAGTCTAGAAACATCTAGAAACATAAAAGTCTACATATACGTAGAAACCACACCACAGAAGACGGTTGATATTCCTGGATGCAAGTCTACTGAAACTACTATAAGACAAGAACGTTTGGATTTTGGTTATTGTGGCATGCATTAGATTATATTGGCAAACACATTATTTTCGTGAGAAACGTTACTAGAGAAGATGATACATGAAAAAGGGGACAAAAAAGGTGTAGCATGTTAGATAAGATTTATCGACAGTTACCTGATGTATAAGTACATATAACTGTTTTACCTGTTTCTGTTAATAAAGGACATGGAGTTTGTGAATGAACAATTTATAAAAGTACATATAACTGTTTTACCTGTTTCTGTTAATAAAGGACATTGAGTTTGTGAATGAACAATCTATAAAAGTACATATAACTGTTTTACATGTTTCTGTTAATAAAGGACATTGAGTTTGTGAATGAACAATTTATAAAGGTATGATGGATACAGAAATAGTATCTACAGATAGGAGAATAAAATATTGTAAAAAAAGAATGATATGTTGTTTAAGAATCGAAACAGGTATATAAGTTGGATTGGGTAATGCAGATTACATCGTGTATATAAATTTACCTCTCTCCTCTTGGTAGGTCCGACATTTTTTCAAACGATGGAGGGTCAGCAAAACCCTCCTGGCGTGTGCGGAAGTCTATGCTCTGGTAGGTGGGGTCATCCTCGCCGTGGTCCTCCCAATTACCGGCAGCACGTGCTGCTGCAGCAGCTGAAGGTTAGCAAGATAAAGGTCAAAGGTAACTTCATTTTTCATTAACCCTATTGTTACTTTGTGAGAATAATTTAAATTATTTGGTTGGCAATATTCAGTTTTAAGATGCGTTGCTATCAAATAAATGCATGGGAAAATTGAACTTTCATAAAAATCTCTTTGTTACGAATATTTCTTTGTCTAAGTGAATATTTCCAACCTAGTGAGTGAATACTGAATTTCGAAAAGTAGCATTATTGTGCCAAAAAATGTTATAAGCATAACAAGGTTGGAGATATACAACGTGTTACAACTATGCATTCAATGCTATCTTTACACATCCAATGTTCACTTTGATTTTGTTTCATTATTTTAACAAAACACGTAAATTTTCACGGATTTTTTTCAAGAATCTTGCATCGTTAACGAAAATTATGGCAAGTTACAATTATGTTTTTATACGTATAGTATGCGAAAAATTATCATTTTTTAAATTCCAATATAATAACAATGGAATACTTTCAACGAAAATATTATAATGTGCTTTATTATTAGATAAATGCTGCTCATACAGCTGTAACAGAACATCCATGGTACTATTTTATTACGTTGTATTTCAATCTAATATTTCTACATATACAACATGATACAAAAAGGAAATGATCTCGTTTTCTCTACTTCAATACAGATATGTCTATAATAACACTCTCAACAAATTCTAACAGGTAATAAATATTCATATTTCCCTTTGTTTTTTCTATTTCTATTATAGAAAATGTGAATATTTAATACTAACAGTAGAATAGTTTGTGTCAGTATCGTTTCTCTATGTTGAGCACTAGTTACATGTAAGAAAGCGAAATGTGGGAGTCATATTGTCATTGATAGTAAGAATAGCAATGAAAATTATTTTGGATTCCAAAATTGTTTAGAAAGGATCAGAAAAAAGCTAGCAATTTTATCAAGCAATGCCAAATACTTCCTAAAAACTAACATCATTTTTCCTGCTAAGTAATTTTCTAATAGATATGCTGAGAACGATTTGTAACTTTGTGTGGAAATTCAATCACAATCAGTGATTAATAATGATTATCGAATACACAGACTAGAGATAAAACACTCACATCAACCTCAGCAAACAACTGCTTACACATAGGGGGAGAGGGTGTCAGTATTTAGGGAACACAATCTACCTAAAGGTAATCTAATAACACACTAGCGATACACACTCCTCTCACATCAATGTAAGTGTGGATTACAACCAAACCTCAGCAAACAACTGCTTACACATAGGGGTGGAGGGGGTCAGTATTTACAACCAAACCTCAGCAAACAACTGCTTACACATAGGGGGAGAGGGTGTCAGTATTTACAACCAAACCTCAGCAAACAACTGCTTACACATAGGGGGAGAGGGTGTCAGTATTTACAACCAAACCTCAGCAAACAACTGCTTACACATAGGGGGAGAGGGTGTCAGTA